TTAACGAAAAACACTGACGAATGAGAGGCGAGCTCGACTGACGCGAGGCGGCCGAGCCAACAGCGCCAGCGGTCGAGCGGTCGAATCCCAGCTCAGCTGGCGCGAGGCGGTCGAGCCAATCAGCGGAACTGGGGTTCGACCGCTGGCGCCGTTGGCTCGGCCGCCTCGCGCCAGCTGAGCTGGTATTCGACCGCTCGACTGCTAGCGTTGTTGGCTCGGCCGCCTCGCGAAGGCCACGGTTGGCGCGAAGACGAGCTCGCTCCTCATTGGTCATCGTTTTTCCTCAATAACTCGTAAACGATGCCTCAGAAAAAAATTTTGTAAAGGAAAAAGTCACTTCGAATCACCTCAGGAACTCCTCATTTTCCGGAAATATAGTTCATTTTCCGTACAAGGTGTGGAAATATTTCTAAAAACAGCGGAATTTTCTATATTATTTATTTCTTCATTTATACCGATGTAACGGAAGCTAATGCTTTCGTCTTCGTGTAATTATTCGGTTTCGATAAGATTTACTTGTTCTTTACTCGATCCAAACAAAACTGCGCTATGTCTCATCGTTATATAATAATTAATAACCATCTTCATCTCGTTTTTTGTATATATTTTTTGCCAAAATTCTCATCGCACTTTCTTCATCGTCTTCTCCTTTCAAAAAGTTATTTCATCTTTTTTACACGCACTGTTCTATCCGATAGACGCCAATATGTATATACAGGGTGTCCCAAAACGATGGTGTACTTCCGGGAATTGAGGGATTCCTGAGGTTATTCGAAATAACTTTTTCCTTAGCGAAACTGTAATCCACAGCTTTGTTTACGAGTTATCAACGTTGAACACTGACCAATGAGAGTCCAGCTCGGTTGGCGCGAGGCGGCCGAGCCAACGAGCGGACGAAGCCCAGTTCCGTTCATCGGCTCGGCCGCCTCCGCGCCAGCCGATCTCGTCTCTCATTGGTCACTGTTTTTCGTTAATAACTCGCAAACAAAACAGCAGATTGAACATGCGCCCAGGAAAAAGTTATTTCAAATGACCTCGGGAATCCCACGTTTCCCGGAAGTACCATAATTTTAGGACACAATTCGTATTTTGCTAGTAATAGTAAACCAAACATAGACGTTAACTCTTGAGATAGTCTCGAAAGCGAAGAGGCTCCAAGATCAAGCGAACCCAGGCGTCGTTAGAATAAGTTGCGGAAGTGTAAGGACTGTTGCGACCATGTTCGGCAGGGACGGGGTGCCTTACTGCGAGAAGGACTACCAGAAGCAGTTCGGCGTGAAGTGCGCGTACTGCAACCGCTACATCAGCGGCAAGGTGCTGCAGGCCGGCGACAATCACCATTTCCATCCAACCTGCGCGCGCTGCACCAAATGCGGGGATCCTTTTGGTGACGGGGAGGAGATGTACTTGCAGGGCGCGGCGATATGGCACCCGCGCTGCGGCCCCGGCCCCAGCGGGCCGAATGGTATCGTAAATGGCCACGGCGAAGCGCACACTCCCCAGCATCGGGAGTCGGAGCGAATTTCCAGCAGCGCGTCAGAGATGCAGGTAAGCCTGGGACAGGTTTCGATCCGCTCGGCAGTTGCCGAATTTCCGCAGCGAACGTCAGGGAGCGTCACGGTCCCGGAGAGAACCAGTCGGCTAGGACTCGACTGCCGTTTCTCGGTCCTCTGTCCTCGAAGCTTCGCGCCTATCCCGAACTCGAGTTTCGGAACTGGTGTACCGATCTCTGTAACATAATCAATTGCACCGTAGAGCGTGCGACGATCGTTGTCCTTCGTGTTCCATTTCATCGTCACGGTGACTTACGATGGCGTCACTCTCGCAGTCGATCGTTCGTTCGATCGGTTTCGACCGCGTCTCATTTCTCTCTCTCTCTCTCTCTCTCTCTCTCTCTTTCTCTTTCTCTTTCTCTCTCTGTTGTCGTTCGATCGCGAATCTCTGCTAATAACGTTCATTGTTCTCGGCGTAACATGGTTAGTATCCTCTGTCTTGACGATATCGTTCGAGAATATGTGCACGTCGCTCTCTCGTCTCGCCGAATGCATTCTTTTGTTATTTTGTTGTTGTTGTTCCTATTCTCTCTGAAGTTTAGTTGCATCGTACGTTGCCGTCGAACGACCATTGTTGAATTGTTGCGAAACATGTGTATCGGTCGGGACGATATCTTGTCGAACGATCCGAGACGATCACGGATAAAGTCAGCTTGCATCGTGCTTATTCTGGACTTGTGTTGTTACCACGTGTCTCGTGTGAAACATACTACTTGTTGCTCGGTTGGCGTTCTTGTGTTTCAGTATTATACGTACTAAACGTATTATTATTATTATTATATATATATACAGTGTTGTCTCGACACCAGACTATAAAGTAGACCAATCTCGTTTAGATACCACCTACAAATCCACCTATTACTATTATAATTATAGTTTCAGTAACAGCTTTGTGTATAGCTTAATTTGATCACCATTCTATTGAACGATAATTATTATTGGCTTTCGATTGTGCATTTACATTCTCCTTTAACGTGACGTTGTACACTTTTTCCGCACGCTTCGATGTACGGTTTTTTCGGTATTATATATATTATATTATATTATATTCTACGTATACACACATATATACATATATATATACATATATATACATACTTGAACTGAGAACTGGTCATATATATCTCGTTTTCTCTATGATTTTCCTCTTCTCAATTTACCTTTTTCTTTTATTTTGATTATTGCTTTCTTAATCGTTGTTTACTTTTTTTTTCGCACGGTCATTGTGTATAGTTTTCATTGCGGTCACGCACGCCAAGCCTGAACGGATCACTCTGCAGCCCTTACAGCAGCCTCAGTCGCAAGGTATGCCATGTATCTCCTAGCACAGACGCTCTTTTGAGAAACCCCGCGCCGTAAGTTCGAAATTCCGTGTCGCCGGATGCGTCCTCCGCGTCGCCGAAATTCCTCCAGCCACCGGTGTGGGTGGCGGCCGAATATTAGATCTCGAGTGGTCGGATGGATCAATTGGTAAAGCGGCCAATCAGCTGATTCCTGTCCTACTTGCGCGCAGTTTCACCTACACTCGTTTCAATTGAAGACCTCGCTTCAACTTCGCCTCGCGTTCCTTTGACGCAGCGTTTCACCGGATCCGATTGTTTCACCTTTGAAACTAGCCGAAAACGTTTCGGAACAATTATCATCCCGATTGCGCCAGGTGGCGCCTAAACTATCGATACCCAACGAGGACCGTTTGGAACGCTTCGCGAAAGGGACACGCTGATCTTATCGGGCTTCGATGCCGCAGATTAGCGGGAAAGGTGCGCTTTCTCGAAAGAGCGTAACACGCATCGAGTTGTTATCTTCCTTTGCTCAGTACGAAGCTAAAGTTAGCGGTATGACAAGACGCTTGCGACACACCGCGAGCCCAGCACGAGCTCAACCGCGATAATATGCGTTAATTGCCTCAGTATTACCCCGCGCGAACCGGCAGTCCTGGACTGATGTTGAGAGAGTACGGACGCGGTGCATCCGAGGATGTGTCTAGGATTTACACGTACTCGTACTTGACCGAGACGCCCAGCCAGGGATACTTGAGACGTCCGATACAGCCGTACGACAAACCACCGACGAGCCCACACTTTCACAGACCAAGCTGTAAGTCTGATCTCTGCCTCGGCGCCATAACTTTCGGATCGGCGAGCGTGCCAAAATTTCGCGTGACTCTCGAACGAAACGTGATCGAGAGATCTGTCACGGTTCACCAGGAACTAGATCGCTTGCTTTAACCCTTAGCGCTCCGCGCGTTTCTCGAGTACTGGCTACCAGCAATTCCAGCACATTTTTGGAGCGGAGCGCCTGAGATAAAGGAAGTCTTATTTTGAGCGGAAAAGATTACACGTCCTTGTGAATGCATTTGATTTTATTTATTTTAGAAATATACATTTTCCTATTGTAAATAAAAGATAAATTTTTAATTTTGTAATTCACCATGGTGTGATATCTTTGGTAACAATCTCCCATGTGCATTCTGGGTTTACTTGGACAAATGTCACAGTATTCGCTTTGCCAGATACAGCTACCAGATATTTCTTTCAAGTTTAGAACATTTTCTGCGTAATTGTTGGTTTCCTTTATAATTTCATTTACCAATTCGTCCGTGAAAAATAATTTAAAATATTGTGTCGGCTGTCCAATGTTTGTAGGAACTTGTGGTCCAATGACCTGTGGCAATACACTAAAAAGGTATTCTATCTGGAATATGTAATTCTTCCGTAACATCACGCCATTCGTCTAAGTCTTGTAACGAATCTTCGCTTCCACTTTCAATAATTCGCATTCTTCGTCTCTTTGGTAGTATAATTTCGCTACTACTACTTGAAGTGTCAGAATCATAACCAACATTGTGTTCCACAATGTCTATTAACTCTTCAAAATCAAATACGTCTTCGGTATCACTCGGCTCTAAATTCTCATCATAATATTTATTTTTCTCCATGTTGCTAACCATAGAAAAGGTCAAAAAATGGTTGAATCGTAATGCAGCGGAGCCTTTGGAGTTACTGAACAAATGACAAATGTCTCCGTAGCGGAGCCTTCGGAGCGCTAAGGGTTAAATTTTATTCGGGGACAAGGCTGTCAACGAGTCTCTGATTCTAGCATACTTGCTCATCGTATCGCTGTTCCAATCTTCGATTGTATCGAAGCGGGATCAAAAAATACACGACGATGACACTCAACGGCGATACGATGCATCGATAGGTATTCTAACGCAATAGTTTCATTACAGGGAAAAAGAGCAGGATTCGCGATTAAAAAGCATAGGGCACAGAGTCTTTTAGTGCCTATTCTCGCGCAGAAGGTCCAATGGTTGCGTCCTTTAGCCGATCCGAATTTTGTCGCGATATTCATCGGCCGAAGGAAACCGTCAATCGTGTTTCTGTTACGACAGCGTCCCGTTCGATAAGAAGCAGCGGCGGACGTAGCAGCCGATCAGGAATGCGAGCCCTGGTCGACGCTCTCAGCGAGCCGAGACCGAAGTCGCCGGCCAGTCAAGTAGATAATGACGAGCCAATAGAGCTGGCGCATTATCCGGACGCCATGAAGCCGCCTCCTGGAGCCAAGCCGCCGATCGAGAGGGACGATTTCCCCGCCCCTCCTTACCCTTACACGGATCCAGAGAGACGCAGACGATGGTCGGACACGTACAAGGTGAGCCCTAGCCACGAGACCGATTAATTTGTTGTTGAACTTCGTAATACATAACACTTGCGCTCGTCTCCGTAGGGTGTGCCTATATCGGATGACGAGGACGAGGTCGATAACAAGACGCATATAAAGGAAGTGGAAGAGAAGTTGAAGAAGGAGCAGGACGAGCTGAGCAAGATCGACACTGGCATAGCGAAGGTGTTCCTGCAGGATCGGGAGAAGGATCGTGAGAACCTGAGACACAAAGCTGCCAACGTGGACCCGAGAAACGCGTCGAGAACACCGTCCGCTGCCAGAGAACCGACGCACAGACTTCGATACGAGAGCCCTGTCGGCGCCTGTGAGTGTAGACTCATTATCGCTGATAGCGATTCGAAGATCGTTCGGAAGATTTCCGAAGCGGTTTATCACTTGCAGTTTTTGTTATCGAAGCTTTCGGGCATGAGCCCCGTCCTTGTGGGATCGTTCCGCCAATGTTTTTTGATAATTGTGTTTCGCTGTTCAGCTGATCGATCGGGAAAGTTTTTGGATCGATAAGCGATGAACAGGCTCCGCTAAGTGAAGCACCACCACCACCTTATGAAGCTGGTTGCAATGCTAGCGGAACGTTGAGGAAACAATTCCACGAGGTGGCGACTTCCGTCCGAAAGCCTCGACAGTAAGAACTGTACGACGCCGGGCCGTGAAAGCCAAAAATCTCTGACGCACGACTCGTTTTCTAGCTCCCTCGAGAAATATAGATCACGCCAGACCTTGGGAGGACGACGACGGTCTGAGTTACAGGTCCAGCGGGCCGAGTTACAACGGTAAGTTCTCCCCGCAGTTCTCGAGCCGACTAGTTTTGTCATTATTATCATGATCGTCTCATTAACATTAAGTGATAATCATCTCATACATGTCCACACGTTCGCACATGACACTAACATACCACTCTACCGTTTGAAGTAACATCGGACATTTAGAGATACCGACGTGATAGCTGGGTGGGGAGAGAAAGAGGGAGCATCCCACGTTCGGAAAATATCATTTTGCGACGTGCGAATGCGAATCGTGCGATGGGGGAAGGGTGTCGCCCGTGCTCGATTGACGAACGATAACAAGTGCGTGACTCGAGCAGCGATTGTTTTAAGTTGTATGTGGCCGTGGCATAGCACCGAATACCGCACACTACGGGCGCCCATTAACGTAACCAGGTGATGTATTATCCGCTTCTGCATGTGATCGACATCTATCATCGATGTGCTTGCCTATTCTTACATCTATCATCTTTCCCGAGAACTATACGGCGGACCTCGCGCGAGCCAGCTGGTTCTCATCTCTCGGATCCACGATGGACGTTTCCAGCTTGCCCGCGGAGTCCGCTGTATACTGTGCGTCGAGTAAATCATCCTGCGAAGTAGCATAATCGATACCGAGCTCCCAGTTCTTTTCACCGAGGCGAAACCCAACCGCGGTTTCCATCCCGACCGTTGAATTACCCTAGACTACATCTTGCTACGCTCTTCTCGCATGGTACTCTGATATCTCACCATTCGCAACTATTTCATCATACACGAACACACATCGCTCAGAAGAAAAGTATCATTCTGTCATACCTATTGAATGTCTCGCCACGCTGGAAGATTGTCGCGGAGCCTCGCGCGGATTCAGTTTCGATCTGGTTCGAAGGAACGTTTAGGAGGTCGATCTCCATACCATTTATGGGGAATTAAACTCGTGCTTCGATACTAAGCCTATCGAGCAGCAATAGCGACTAGCGTGCATTCCCTCATCATCGAAATAAAAAGATTAACCCATTGACTGCCACGCAAATTTAGCGCGTCTTGCCCTGGGTGCCACGGTTTTATTTGAAAGAAAACATGAAGTTTTACAAAATATAATAATATTAAGTTACTGGTATAATATTGCAATGGCATTTACAGTATATAATATAATATTATTAATATATATAATAATATTAAGTTATTGGTATAATATTGCAATGGCATTTACAGTATATAATATAATATTATTAATATATATAATAATATTAAGTTACTGACATAATATTGCAATGTCATTTACAGCATTGTTTATAATATTATTAATATATATAATAATATTAAGTTACTGATATAATATTGCAATGTCATTTACAGCATTGTTTTATTGATAATCTATATGTTCTCTACACTATATACATTTTTCATTCATCCTTTCTAATAGTTCCTAACTCAAATAGCCATTTGTAGCCAATCTAAACTTGCAGCACCCACTACGAGATATCTCGTAGCTGGCAGTTTTGGTACAGACGCTTACTACGAGATATCTCGTAGTTGGGAGTCAATGGGTTAAATTCATTTCGATTCTGGGACGTTTTCATTGCCAAGTTTATAAAAGTTTGTCTCGCTTATGCGAGAGATTTGTCAAAATCTGCGCGACCATCTTCCAACGTCGGCTCTCATTTATATATCGTTATAGTATACCGCTGTCTATCGTTAGTCGACACGCCGCTACCTGTATCATCGTGTCTCTATTTGTGTTTTTGTGTTTGTGTTGTGTTTGCGTGGGCGGCAGTTGGGAGGTCATCGGCACGTTCCCCGGCTCCCAGAAACTATCCACCCCTTGGTACTCAACGCGCCTTCACTCTTCCAAACGCCGCTAGGCACTATCATTCGGTGAGTCCGTGAACTTTCCAATCGACCTACCGTTGATCTCAAGTCAAACGATTATAGAGACTCGTAATCACGGGCCCGGAAAGGCGAGCTTCGGCGCCCGAGGAGAAGGGAAAGAAGCTCGCCTTTCCGTAAACAGACACACCAGAAAAAAAAGAGTAGAAAGAAAAGACTACCGAAGAGCAGACGTCGTGCGACCGAGGGAAACGTATGATGATTCCGATTTGTTGACTTGTCTTCACGGGAGGCATGCTTCTTTTTGTATCGTTCTTCTTCTGACCTTCTTTTTTTTTGTTCTCTCTTGTATCTTTAGCTTTATAGAAATATTTACTATTACTTACACACAGACGCTCACACACATACGCATACACACACGTACACATACAGGTGCTGGCTTATTCGTTCCCGAGTACAAGTACATATTGATTGCGTATGAATATCTTTTCGTTTCTCGTACACGCGCCGATTATTCTTTGCACCCTGTTTCACGAGGCACACTACGCTTCTGCACCCCGAAAAGAAAAAAAACGAACGTTTCGCCCTCTTGCCGCGGGGATGTTCGATTAACAGTAGAGTCTCGGAGGACCTACCGACACGCAGTACTCGAAATTTTGCATTCTTTTACCTTTTTTTCTTTCGTTCCTCCTTGGCAATCTTCTTTTTTCTTTCGCTCGCCGTGCTTGCTAGAGAGCCGCTTCGACGAAAGTCGACGAAACTCTGGAGAAATATCTTTTCTTCGGGGTTTCTGAGGAAGCATGGCAGCGAATACGTCACAGTATCCTCTCGTTCGGAAGTAAAAGAAAGGCTGAAATTTCTCGAATTATATTATCCGGCCAGCGTTTCTCTTCTTAAAATTCGAACGGTCGCATCTTGGCATCGATGAAAGAATTACATGACACTGTCGTGACCCAGGGACGTGTTTCAACTCGTAAGAAGGTATAGTTCGCATTTGGTTGGAGCGACGAATAAGGTAGAACGAACGACCCCTATCGCGAAGCGAACGCCAGGAGGATACTGTGAGAAGGAGAGGTTGCAAAGTCTTTGGAAAAAAGGTGAAGCCGGTGACTGTAGTCTCTCGATGCAAAAGGTAGGGTACAAGACAGTCCCCCCGAGTCCGGTGACACAGAGCAAAGTCGATGTAACGAAAAAAAAACCACTCCACGCAATACAAAGAACGCAATGTTTTGTTGGCGAACGTTGGGCATTCGTATGGGAATGAAACGATTCCACTGTCCGGTTGGAACTAATGAGTAATACTGTCGATTGACCATTTGAAACCAGTTGTGAGCTCCCTTCGGCACATCCCGAAGCCAGGGTACGGTCTGGCACCGCGAAGTCACACCTTCTCCTCGACCGGCGGTTCTGTATCTGCTCTCCCTGTAAGTCTTGCACAATCGCGTCACAATCGACGACCAATCTCTTGCACCTGTTGCTGTATTTTATTTAAGAAATGCTCTAGAGACACTTTGTTCTTTACTTGTTTTGACTCTTACGATTTATTCTTGTGATTATTACCATTACTTGTTATTTACATTTTCTCTCTCTACATATATATATATATATAGAAATATATATATACATCTCTCTCTATATATATATATACATATATATTATACACATATAATGATATTACACGGTTTAACGAGAATGTACCACGTGCCACTGCTAAAATGTACGCTTTTCTGTCGTCTAGGGTGATTATTCGTTCAGTGGGATGGGAGACAAGACGCACAGCACTGATTTCTCCTCTGGCAAGTCAGATAGTGAGTAACAAAGCGGAAAGGACCTATACCGATCACGTTATCTTGCCACCTTTTCTCTCGCAGTACTCTCGAATCTTCGACCTTCTTGTACATGCTTCTTTATCATTATTATGTTTTGTTCACGTATCGAGAGTGCTCGCGGAACCAACCGTCAGCTTGGCAATATCTCTCGAACGGTTCCGCGAGCACGCTTTTATACTCTTTCTATTTCTTTTTTTGTTCCTTTTTCTTTCTCATTTCACTTCGTTCTCTTTCGATCATTACATATCGGCTTAATAACCTGAGCATGCTTGACTAATGCATCCTCGCTGAATCGTACAAACTACACGACACGTGCTACAATCATGCTCACCCAAACACGCACACTTAACATACATACACGTATACGTGCATACATAGGTACGTACACATACACACACACATACATATACACACACACTGATTGTCATTGTCATCGTTTCATCGTACGGATCGTTTCCCTGCTGGGACCCGGCGTACGGTGATCATTTTAGATCGCGGATTGCATAAGAATCGCAGACTGTTATGATCATTAACCGTGCCGGATGGATTTCTAGCTGCTCGTGACGGTCATCCGTAGCGCGATGAACGTCACACTATGATACGTGCCTTGAGGATGCTTGATCGTTGAGAGCTGCCCACGTATCATGTAGCTTTTTTTTAGCGGATTCAGGTCCCATATCTTGTACAAATACGATCATCCGACATTCGCTTATAGTGATTTCTCATCGGGGGCCCGATCGTCTTCCCGGTCGACAAGACAGTTCGCCCAACGTCGGTCAAATCAGAAATGATGTGTCGATGCTGTGTGTGTGTCAGAGAGGAGGACGTTCGGCTGTTGTGTTGGTTGGATACGGAACACGATCGATCGCCGAGCGAAACGATTGTTTCTTAACATAACGAAATGGTTTGTGCAACACGGTTTGACATGGTTTTTTTCTTTCCCATTTTCTCCCGAACTTTAGTATCGACAGGCAGCATCACGGATGTGGATCGACGGGCACTGGTATGTACCACAGCCCCATACTACTCCCGGCGAATTAGCATGGTTTGTAGCTTGTTTTTTGCATTTCTGATTTATACGATTAATCGCATTCTTGCAGTCGGGTTAGATTAATTCGGTGTGAGAGAGAGGGAGAGAGTGAGCGCGTGCGTGAGACAGATTTGGATGATACGAAATGAGAATCGCACGGACGCGGGAGACTAGATCACGAATTCACGGAATCGTTTTTCACAAAGTGCAGAATTATCTATGTACATATTCGATATAGTTGGCCCGTCGCTGTCGCAGTTGTAACATATCTACATATATTTTGTACATAGAGCGTTGTATATTGTTTTGCGCATGCCTGCTGTACATTTGCTGCGATTACAGTTCTCCAATATCTTTTTGTTCTCCTTTTTTTTTTTGCATTTGCAACACATCTATTTTGTTTTCGATTCTTGTCACGTTTTGCCTTGCGACTTGGAGTTGTTGCATATTTGACTCTCGACGAATCAGTTTGCCAGAGATCGATTCGATTAGAGATTGTTTATGCGCTTCGATGATTTGCAACGTTTTAGACCGAAAGGCGATCAGCTTTTTTGCCGTTTGTTCGACAGTGCCAAACGATAAACGCAATACATATACGTATATCTATATATCTTTTCGTTCACGCAAACGATAACACGATGCGAGTTTCTCGTACCGATACCGCCCGAAATCTTTGACAAAAGATTAATCAATCGATCGTCGCCATATATCGCCGCCTTCAATCACTTTTCGTTTTTTCGTCGAGTTAACCGACGCGTACTAAACACAACCTCCATTAACCGCATACGAACGCATCTTCTGTGCACCACGGAACGAAAGAAACCGAAACGGAACTATGGCCTACACTGAACAATTACCGAACAATCTCTGTGCATGATGCGCACGTTCGCGCGTGTTTCGTGGCTGTGCTTCATTCTTTCCCCTGCCGTGTCCGATCGAAAACCGACCGATCCGTGCGGCGAGTGTAGAGTCCGATTATCATGTAAGTCTCACAGAAACACGCTGCACGAAAAAAAAAACGGTTCACCGACTGCGCGGGGTTCAAGAATGAATCGTAAGATGCCAGTTCCCATCGCATCGTCTCCTTTTCAGTCTAGCTATAGTTCTGTCTCGCGAACGGCACTACGACCACACGCCGATGGTGCACGCCGTTCGCACAAAAAACGCCGCGTTCTCAGTCAACATTCGCTGATTCTCTTTTTATTTTTGCTGCAACGTTCAGTCTTGCTGACGGTCGAGCGATCCGCTGCAACGTGGGAACAAACATCTCGCGCGGGACCATTTACATAGTTCTTCGAAAGCCTGACCGTGACATCCTCTCAATTTCGCGTATTGGCAATCCTACGCGTGCGGCGTTCAATTTGTTCAAATTACTAGAGGATCGAGAGAACCGCGAAACTAACTAGTGTGCAAAATTGAGAGAAAATCGGCAGGAAAATAAATCTGTTCCGCTTGGATTCTCCTAAAAAATGTCCCGAAAATGTTGATCTTTGGATGATCGAACGAAAATCGATTTTGGAAAATCGAGCAGCGAAAAGAAACGCGTTCCGAAGGACGATCATCTGCGTCCGAGGAAACAATAAAGAATTCGTTCCCGCGCGAGACGCTTCGTTCAATTAAATGCACCGCTATTAACTCCGACGGGTACGTCATCGATTTCGGGGACTAATGTACGATTCGTGCTTCAGAATGATGGTGGAATGCTACCATCGTCCACCACGTATACAGGTGGCCTAGGTTCGGTGGTCGGGAGTCATGGGGGACATCACGTGAGGAGATCGTTGCCGGACATGGGTACTGCGCCATCCGAACCACCGAAACTCTATCCATATCACTTACTTGTCATCACTAACTATAGGCTGCCCGCCGACGTGGATCGCTGCAACCTTGAGGTGAGCAACTACACCGTTAATTGATATTCAACGCATTAATCTCTGCAATTACCCGCACGTTACCCGCGCGAACCGCATTCCCGAAAAAAAATTCTTTTCACCCGTTCCCCGTAATTACGCGCGAGTCCACTGTCGCGCGTCAACATGATTTATCTCGTTCCGCGAAGCGCAGCATTGCTACGAATTATTAGGGTATCCCATAAGTTCTTTCCGCGCCGCGCTATGAGTGACTCTAACTGGCTGTTTTATATAAACACGCAGGCTTATCTCTTGGCTGTTTAGGGTATCGGTTTTAGTCGTCCCAGAGCTCTTCTAGAGTACGTTTCGTGGGTGACAAGGTTCCTTATAAAATTTTTTCTCCGCCGTTCAATATGGATAGCCAACAAAAGCATTTGCGGCATGTTATGCTTCATTGCTTTAACAAAAAAGTGATAGGGCAAAGGACACTGCAAACGAGATTTGTACCATTTACGGTGATGGTTCTACGACTATTAGGACAGTCCGCAATTGGTTTAAGAGATTTATAGCTGGAAATTTTGATTTGAAAGATGAAGACCGCAGCGGCCGTCCAGCAACGACGGATGCGGGCCTTATCAATGATATGCTCGCTGAAAATCCGCGATATAGTGTGTGCGAAATCGCGGATGCCACTAACATACCCAGGACAACGGTACATGAGCATTTAATCAAGATGAGATATGTGAATCGATTCCAAGTTCCACACCGTCAGTAGGTGTTGACATCAGTCTTACGAACCACGTTTCTACGTGCGATTTGCTTCTCCAATGACATGGAAGAAATCCTTTCCTAAAGAGGCTTGTCACTGGAGACGGGACTTGGACTTTATACCAAAATGTGCATCGAAAACGAACTTGGTCAAAAGGAAATAGACCCTCAATTGTTGCAAAGCCAGGACTTCATCCGAAGAAAGTTCTTTTGTGCATTTGGTGGGACTGGAAAGGTGTAGTCTACTACGAGCTCCTTCCTCAAGATGAAACGATCGATTCAGCTAAATATTGTAATCGACTCGACGAATTGAAAGCCGCCATAGCAGAAAAACGACCAAAATTGGCGAATCGACGCGGCGTCGTTTTTCGTCGCGACAACGCAAAACCGCATGTTGCGTTGGTCGTAAGACAAAAATTATTGCAATTTGATTG